TGTGTTTGCTTTTGAAGTATGACCATTAAAGGTATCTAGAGAGCCCTGTGACGTAGTGGTAAGGAGCTGCACTGCCAACCTGAAGGCATGTGGTTTGTCTGAGGGAGAAAAATGGTCAGTCTCCTGTGCAATTTACAGCCCCCAAATGAATGCTATCCAGTGACTGTGCGCCCCCTTGTGGCTACAGTGTACGCAAGCATTCTTTATGCACGTGCTCAGAATTAATTCATAGATTAATCTTTCTCGGTCTCTTCTCACAGTTCAGTTGCTCTCCAGATTAGGACCAAACCAGTTGCCATCAAGCGAATTCTAATGCTCGTGGCAGCTCCATGTGAGTGGATGAGGTGTGAGGGTTAGTGAATAAAAGTGTAAAAGTAAGTAAGTAAAGAAATTTTATTTAAAAATAATACTAAATTGAATGTTTACAAGGCGGAGAGAGTGAGGTAGCTGTGTCTGGCTCCTGCTCTCAAAGCCATTGCAATACATTGAGCTCCGTAGAGACAGCGCCGGGCCAGGCAGAGCCAGACGACACTGGGCGACTCTGTGCCTTATAGATGAGAAATAACTAACCATAGGCAAAGAAGACCCTAAGAAGCCAAGAGGCAAGAAGACGTCATCATATGCAATTTTTGTGCAAACTTCCTGAGAGGAGCACAAGAAGAAATACCCTGATGCTTCTGTCAAGCATGTCTGTTAAAAAGAAAGGTAAATTTGAAGATATGGCAAAGGTGGACAAGGCCCATTATGAGAGTTGAAAACCTATATCCCTCCTAAGGGCCCCCTTCAGCTTTTTTCTTCTTTTGTTCTGAGTATTGTCCCAAAATCAAAGGCAAGCACCTGGCCTTTCGATTGGTGACGTTGTGAAGAAGCTGGGAGAGCTGTGGAGTAAGACTGCTGCCGACAAGCAGCCCTGTGAGAAGAAGGCTGCTAAGCTGAAAGAGAAATACAAGAAGGAAGGGAGGTGTCAAGGCCAAGAAAAGCAAGAAGAAAGAGAAAAAGAAGGAGGATGATGATGAATAAGTTGATTGTAGCTCATTTTTTTTCTTGTCTCTAAAGCATTTAACCCCCTGTAAACAACTCACTCCTTTTAAAGAAAAAATAATTGACACATAAGGCTGTGTAAGATTTGTTTTTAAACTGGACAGTGTCTTTTTGTATAGTTAACACAGTCCTGAATGTGTCTTTAGATAGCCCTGTCCTGGTGGTATTTTCAATAGCTACTAACCTTGTCTGGTACAGTATGGGGGTTGTAAATTGGCATTGAAATTTAAAGCAGATTCTTGTTGGTGCACAGCACAGATTAGCTGTGTTTGGGGATGGTAGGTTTGGGTTTGTTTTGTTTTTCATCTTCAGTTGTCTGATGCAGGTTATGCAAAATAATTGTTCTGTTAACTGAATACCACTCTGTAATTGCCAAAAAAAAAAACAAAACCACAAAAGTTGCAGCTGTTTTGTTGACACTCTGAATGCTTCTAAGGAAATACATTTTTTATTAAAAACATGATAATAAAAATTTTTATTCATAATCTTTAAAATAAGAAAATCAGGCAATTCAAGTGTACTTTGAAAGTTTTATCTTAATTCCAAACACTCTTATGAAAACATGACATATCTTTTCTATTACTGCTAAGATATATCTTGTCTTTCTAACAAGCTTTCTAAGTTTATATCTTTGAGACTACACTACAGTCTATAGTCTAGATGTTGGAACCTCAAATAAGCTCCCAGATCTTCTGTTGGACCCTTGATGTAGCAATTGAGCAAGTTTTTTTAAGCTTTTAAGAACTTGTATTTTCTAACAGTTATATAGGATAGACGTCCAAATTAAGACTTTAGCTTAAATCACAAGATTAAATACTTGGGAGTAAATCTAACTAGAAACACGAAAGACCTATTCAAAGAAAATTACAAAACATTACAACAAGAAACAAAAAGAGACCAGGAGAAATGGAAGAATATACCATGATCTTGGACAGAAAGACTCAATATTGTGAAAAAGATAATTCTACCAAAGTTCAATGCCATCTCAATACAAATACCAATTCCATTCTTTAACAAGATGGAAAAGGCAACTCCAATTTCATCTGGAATGGAAAGCGACCACCAATAAGCAGAGCACTTCTGAAGCAGAGAAACAAGGTAGGAGGCATCTCACTCCCTGATTTCAAAACCTACTACACAGCTGTGCTAGTCAAGACAGCATGGCACCGGTACACAGACAGGAACATAGATCAGTGGAATAGAATTGAGAACCCAGAAATCAGGTCATCTACCTATGGTCAACTGCTTTTTTACAAGGAGATGAAATCAGTTAAATGGGGAAATGAAAGCCTCTTTAACAAATGATGTTGGCAAAATTAGAAAACTAGCTGTAGAAAACTCACGCAAGGCTAACACAACACTCAGAAACCAACTCAGTGGATAAAGGTCCTAGGAGTAAAACCATGGACGATAAACTTCCTTAGAGAAAAGTTTGGAAGAACTCTAGAAGTCCTAATCCACAACATAAAGTCTTCCAAGCATCCTGAAAAACCTGCAACCAGGAGAGAATAAAATAGATGAATGGGATCTTCTAAGAATCAAATCCCTGTGCACATCCAAAAACTTTTCCAACAGGGTAAGAAGGAAAGCTGCAGACTGGGAAAAAAATATTTGGTAATGACATACCTGATAAGGGACTTAAATCTAGAATTTATAGAATACTTCAGCACCTCAACAAGATAAAGGTAAACAACCTACTCACAAAATGGGCACAGGATATGAACAGACACTTCACCAAAGAAGACATTCAGATGGCCAACAAGCACATGAAGAAATGTTCAAAATCCCTAGCTCTAAGAGAGTTGCAAAGCAAAACAATTGTGAGATAACATCTCACCCCAGTAACAATAGCGAAGTTCAACAGAGCAGCACACAACAAATGCTGGAACCCTTATTCACTCTTCATTCTTGGTGGAAGTGTAAAATTTGTAACCACTATGGAAGGCAGTATGACACTTTCTCAAAAAGTTAGAAATAGAAATACCATTTGACCCAGCAGTTCTACTTCTGGAAATATACCCCAAAGAGACCATAACTGCCGCCCAGACAGATATATACACACCCATGTTTATTGTGGCTTTGTTCACAATAGCGAAGAGTTGAAAACAACCCAAGTGCCCATCAACAAATGAATGGATAGAGAAGCTGTGGTATATTTACACAGTGGGATACTATGCTGCACTGAAAAACAAGGAACTCATAAAATATTCTACAAATTGGGTGACCCTGGAGGACATAATGCTGAATTAAATAGTCACAAAAGGACAAATACTGCATAATGCCACCATTATAAAACAGGACTGACAAGTGGGTTGGGGGAAAACTATGGAAAGAAGGGATAAATAATGAACACTGCATTTAAATAGATGAGAGAAAGAACTGTCTAAAAGAAAGATATGATTAGGTATTATTTGCATGACAACAATCAAGAATAAGAGGTGCATAGCAAAGTGGACCTGGGGGGCAGGGAGAGAGGAAATTGTGCAAAAATGAAAGAATCTTTTTTTTAATAATTTTAATGAACATTTACAGAGATTTTGGATTTCCATTCATTCATTGCTGCACTTCTCTCCCTGCCCAGCCCTCCCCCCAAAAGAATCTTTTTAAAGAGAAAAATGAACTGAAGAGATTAGGGAGGAAAATGTACAACAGTGAATGAATAGAAATAACAAGTTTTCTGTAAACTTTTTAAAAAATATCAATAATAAAGACCAAGATAAAAAAAAAAGGAATTCGCTTAGATTCCTTTAATTATTGGTAGCAATGAACAGTGGGGGTTCATTGGGATTCCTTAGCATTTTTTTGTCCTCTAATGTGTGCCTGTATCCTATTTTTTAAAAATTATGTATTTTATATTGGTTTGCATATTAATTAATATATCTTGTGTATTATTCATGGACCATGGCAGTGTTAGGTACAGTGAATACCCAGATTTGGTCTCCCTGTTGCCAGGACAAAGAATGGAACTGGGTGGGAGACGATGGAAGGTGGGCTATGAATGAATATCCTAGTTATGTCCTGCTCAGTGGTCAAACCCTATTAGATCATGCAGTTGAGAACCATTTAGAAACCATTTTCTTAGAAAGGTTATGTTTCAGAGGGAGCTTGAGCACTGGTGGCTTTGTGGTAAGGGATTGTGCTGTCAGCACAGAGATACGGGTTCTGATATGCCAGCTGCCCTGCGTGAGAAAGATGGTCAGCCTCCTCCCATGGGCTTACCTCTGAAAACCCACTGGAGGGTCAGTTTTTACTCCATAATACTCAACAGCAGTGCCCCAGAGAGAAAGAGAGAGATTAGAAAAGATACAGCTCAGAGAGACAGTCTAAGACGGATCCACTTGCAGACATGAAGGGAGGGAGGAAGGGAAGGAGGAAGGGAGGGAGGGAAGTAGGTTCTGTGAATCGTGTACTATTTTTACATTTGTTGTTTTTCAGTGCTGTGTTATGTGGATGTACCCACAGTTTTTCTACCCTTTGTTTGTTGACCAGCAGTTAGGCTGCATCCATCTCTTCTTTGTTGTGAATAATACTGCAATAAACATAGATGTGCACACATCTCTGCATCATAGCTGATACTGTGTCAAATGGTATTTCTGTTTCTAAAAGTTTTTTGAGGAAGCACCAGTGGCTGTACCATTTTATATTCTCACTAACAGAGAATAAGAGTTCCAATCTCTCCAAAACCTTGCCAGCATTTATTGTATGTTGAACATCACTGTTGTTGCTAGGGTGAGATGATACCTCTTTTTTGTTTTGGAAAAAAAGCACAATTTTAGTAAGCCCTTGTGACCCAAGTGAACTGAATGACAGCATTTGTTAACACTGGAAAGAAATGTTGAATAAATGGAGTAGGTGTCCCCAGGGCTGATCCTTCTGGTTGTAAGCAGTTTAGACACATATGGCATTGAGCTGGCCTCGCCACTGGGTTGTTCACAATGAACTTCACCTTTTGCTTTCAGAAATGACCGGGGAAGCACGTCCATACCATGGGAAGGAGGCCATGGATCCAAGGCTGGGCCGGGCCAGAGGAGGCGACCCCACACACTACCATGCCGTGAACGTCGCACAGCCAGTGCGCTTCAGCAGTAAGTTGCAGACCTGCCCACCTCCCTTGAGACAGCTGACCCCATCTTGAGTTTTCAAAGTAGAACTGTAATTTCCTGTGTTAGAGAGAGTTGGGCTGTTGTGCCCAGGGGGTGTTGAAGGATGGGCCATATCACTGTTACGTGCAGTGAATACCCAGATTAAGTCCCCATTTGTCGGAACAAGGAATGGAACTGGGTGGGAGACGATGGAAGGTGGCCTATGAATGAATATCCTAGTTATGTCCTGCTCAATGTTAATATTGCTGATGGTCAAACCCTATTAGATGATGCAGTTGAGAACCATTTAGAAACCATTTTCTTAGAAAGGTTATGTTTCAGAGGGAGCTTGAGTTCTGGTGGCTTTGTGGTAAGGGATCGCGCTGTCAGCACAAAGATACGGGTTCTGATATACCAGCTGCCCCATATGAGAAAGATGGTCAGCCTCCTCCCGTGGGCTTACCTCTGAAAACCTGCTGGAGGATCAGCTGACCACACAGGTGGTGGCTTCAGGCTTCAAGGTCTCCTCCCCTGCTGACCAAAGCCACCAGGCTCTGCCAGCAGTTCTGGAAATGAATGGCAGTCTTGTTCATCAGAGCTTCCCTTGGTGATATCTGTGTTGTTCTTTTGTGAATGAGGACACAGGTAACCGCCCACAGGTGCCCAACTCCTGAGCAGCAGAGCCCAGGGTGAGACTGACTGGAATCTGGTGTCCCCACATTGCTGCTTTTCACAACTGCACTGCTCCACACCAACCTTCTGAAACCCTCTGCCTATCTCCTTCTATAGTCAGGAGAAAGGCTTTGTGAGATGATGTGACATGTCCAGTCTTGAGTCCCCAGGCCTCTGGCAGGTGGTGATTTTAGTGGTTAGGTGCTAGTGTCCCCAGGTCCCTGTGTAGAGGATTGATCAGATGGGAGTCCAATTAGATGACTCTGAAGCCTAGGAACTGGGCAGGGGATGAGGCAGAGAGGACAAGCTCCTGCTCACCTTTTTCAGGAGTCATTTTGAGGGTATCCTGGACCCCGCACAACAGGCCCATCTATGCCCCTAGTCCCTGAGCGCTCACGACCCTTCAGACTCAGTCACAGTTTGCATGCCTGTCTCTGGACTTCTCTTTACTTGTTTTTTGGTGGATTTTTTTTAAACACTGACATTGTTTATTCAGTAAGTCACAGCAGTTCAGTACTCACACGGTGTGGAAATATACACACCACTTTCTCAGATATCGGGAAGAAGACTTCAGGAATTTGGCAAGCTATTGGTTATCTTGTGATCGTGAAGAAGTCAGAAATTCTAGCAGTGACGTTTCGTGTTTGTTAGTTTCTTACTGAGTGGATCCTAAAAGGTAATACATACATTACTGCAGCTAAAACCATCCATTTTAGCTTAGAGGATTCCATTTCTTGCATATTTTGTGCTGTTCTTTATGAAGAGAAGTGAGCTAGTCAGTGATTGTAAGACAGAGAGAAAGGGGTTAGGCACTCCCAGCTATTTCTAAAAATCAGCCAGTTAGAAGTGGCACACAGTCTGTTCTTTCAGGGTGACTGTCCAGGACTTGGGATCTGTGACTTGGTGGCGTGGACGACGCTGACCCTCCACAGAGTGGGTGGTCATCTCTCCCACTGCTATGCAGTTGCCTTTGTACTCAGCTCATATCTCATGAGCTGGCTTCCCTGGATGAGCTGGGCCACCTCGTTGGTTGCATGGCATGCAAACAGCAGCAAGTGGGTCCCATCTCTGAAAGGTTTCTTGCTCTTTGAAGTGTCTGTGAAGAACCTGAAATGGAAGCCCAGTGCTACTGCTTGCTCAGCAGCCTCCATCTCTGTCTCCCCTTCCCCCTCCCCTCTCTCTGTCTCCCCCTCCTTCTTTTTCTCAGCATCTCTCTTTCTCTCTCTTCCTCTACTCTCTCTTTCCCTTTCCCTCCTTCCCCCTCCACTTTCTCTTTGTCTCTCTCCCCTCTTCTGTCCTTGTCTTCCCCCCTTCCCTCCCTCATTCTCCTCTCTGTCCCCCTCTCTCTTCTTCTCTGTCCCCTCCCCCGTCATCCTCTCTCTCCCTGTCTCTTCCTTGTCCATTTTCTCCCTCTCTCCCCCTCACCTTCTCTCTCTTCCCCCTTGCGCTCTCTCATCCTCCTACTCTCTTTCTGTCTCCCCTTCATATTCTCTCTCTCCCCCTTTTCTCTCCTTTTCTCTCTTCCCCTCCTCCTTTCTCCCCCTCATTCCTTTCCTCATCCTCTCTCCCGCAATCCTGTTTCTCTCTCTTCCCCTTATCCTCCGTCTCTCCCTCTCTTTCTCCCCTCCTCTCTATCCCTCTCCCTGTCTCTCTCCCTTGCCTTCTCTTCCTCTGTTTTTCTCTTTCCATCCTCTCTTCTCTCTGCCTCTCTTTCTGTCTCTTTTGTTCCCTCTCTTCCTTTCACTCCCCCTCTTTCTTTCACACATACACACTCTCCTTTTCCCCTCCTTCTGTATCTTTCATGCACACATACACACTATCTCTCTCAAAAGAACAAAAACACACTTGTCTTTTAAAAAAAACTCTCCAGTGTAAAGATACATTTAAAACCAGTATTTTTCCCCCCTCACAACTGAGTTTGCTTTTAACTGTGACTCTTCTTTATTGGTCATTTGGAAGAACCCAACATTTCTAGCTCGTGAAACCAGAACCCAAACCCATGGCTCTTGGAGTCTGTGACTCCAAGCAGCCTCCATGGGGCTTCTGAAGCTGCACATCCTTAGGGAGGACACCACCCCATCTGACTCCCATGGACCCCTGACCTCTTGGTCAGTAACCCAGTATATCTTCCATATAATCAGTCATTTATCTCACCTCATGACCCAAAGGGCCAGGTCGATGCAGGGAAAGGCTCCTGACCACTCATCCAGGCCATTGTCAGTGGCCAGAGAACCCAGCTCTCAATTTCTTCATCTGTGAGAGACTGAAGATGGTCACACGATTTCAGTGACCCTTCCAGCTCTGATATATCAAGGTTCTTTTATAGGGCACTACTGGTCAGGAAAGTCAGGGACTAGAATTAGGAACATGGGAAGCAATGAAGGGAGGCTGGGCATGGAGATTGTGGCCAATGGGCAGCAAGGACCAGGCAGCAGGCAAAGCCCTGCCACCCCATCAGCCAGCCGGGCTTCCCCAGCATACCAGTTTACTGCCCCGGAGTTGGTTCAGCAGCTGTTCTCAATTACATGTGAATGAGGATCCTCCACAGAAGCAGAAGGAGCACTGGTAGCACAGGGGTTAAGTGTTAGGCCAGTGATGAAAGCCCACAGTGTACACCACAGGAAAAAGATGTGACAGGCTGTTCCCATAGAGGTTACATAGGAAACCCTCTGGAATGGTTCTGCTGTGTTCTGGAGGGTCATTAGGAGTCAGGGGGAGTGGATTGTGGGTATAAGAATGGCAAGGACCATCAAATATGCTTGCACGTTAGATGGAATCTAAGAAGAACCTGCATAGTTTGTCTAAGTGTCTGGTCTTAGAAGCAGGCGCTTTTCCTGCTATGTCTCAGTTCCCCCCTTTGCCTGGTTTAACTCTTGTCCTTGGGCCACTGGCATAGATGACTTCAAATCATGCTTGAGATCCTAAAGTGGGGACCATCTCCCTCTGCCCTTCATGTTTCCTAGGGAAGTGTCCAACAGGCTGGCATCACTACGAGGGCACGGCCAGCTGCTACAGGGTCTACCTGAGCGGGGAAAACTACTGGGATGCAGCACAGACCTGCCAGCGCGTCAATGGTTCCCTCGCCACCTTCTCTACGGACCAGGAGCTGCGCTTTGTCCTGGCCCAGGAATGGGACCAGCCCGAGCGGAGCTTTGGGTGGAAAGACCAGCGCAAGTGAGTTTCAGGCCACCCAGTACTGAGTGCAGGAGTCCTGGCCTGTGAATGTGTGCCATTCCTAAGTGGGAATGAAGTGGGGTTTGTCCATAAGCTGGAAAAGTTAGCGATGGCTTGTGTCTAACATCAGTTAGTCAAATATATCTTAAAAGGTACACCTTTTATATGTGAAAAGCATCAAAGAAGCACATCCAGATACACCAAAATATCTTAACCCCAATGATGTTGATGTTTTGTACTGTGGAATCAAAATTGACCCATAGCTGACTCTCCAGTGGGTTTTCAGAAGCAGGAAATTGCATGGGAGGAGATGGCACATTATTTACCCACAGAGCAGCTGCTGGATTTGAACAACAGTAGTAGTAATAACGTTTTAATGCGAGTTTTATGGTTGTATGTAATCTGGATGTCGTTGCCCATGACTGCTTACTCATGGTCTCGGACAGTATTCGAGGGTAGCCATTGTCTGAGGGAAGGCCAGCCCTATACTCTGGAAGACCCTGGCAGAGTCTGGTTCTTGTTCCTAGGCTGTGAGGGTCAAGGGCATGGTGCTCACCAGCCCAGCCTCACAGGAGAGTGTTGTTGTTGTCGTCGTCATCTGAATTGCAAGGGCAAGCTTCACAGGAGATGCTGCTAAAAATTGATTGTAACCAGAAACAACAGAAAATACAGCAGAGTGGCAACAACAAAACCTGGCCTGTTAATATGAAGTGATTGAGTTTGCCTGCCATAAAGTTCATCATCTTAGAAGTCTTTTAGTGTATCCATAAAGGTGTATTTACAGGGTTTGATGTTAGTCAAGAGTAAGGTTAGTAAGAGTAAGACTGCTCTAGTGGCCTAGTGGTAAGAAGCTGCACTGGTCTCAGAGACATGTGGTTTAAATTCATCACCTGCTCCACAGGAGGATGGGCAGCTTCCTCCTGTGCAATTTACTGTCTCTGAAAATCCACGTGAGGGTTAGCTCCAGGTTGGTTCTCACTTGATGGCACACAACAAGAAGAGTGAGGGTGGTCGTGCAGCAAGTCCTTTTTTATAAAAACCTTTTCTGACCATGTTAGATGGTGAAGAGATTGATATTGTTAACATCTTTATTTTGCTTGGCTCCTCAATCAACCTCTTGATACCAGCAGCCAGGAAATGAAAAGACAAATTGCATTGGGAAAGTCTGCTGTCACAGACCTCTTCAAAGTACTGAAGAGCAACAGTGTCCGTCAAGAGACTAAGGTGTGCCTGATCCAGGCCATATTCTTTACAGTTATTTACTGTGCATCAGAGAGCTGGACAATGACTAGGGATGATAGCAATAGAGTTGATGCCTTTGAGCTGTGGTGCTGGAAGAGTGTTGAATATACCATGGACTGCTAGAAAAACAAACAGGTTCATCCTAGAGATGGTGAGACCAGGCTGCTCCTTGGAGGCAAGGATTCTGAGGCTTCGTCTGACATACTTTGGGCCATGTTGCAAGGCGGGACCAGTCCTTGGAGAGGGACAGTGCATGAGAGGAAGACCCTCAATGAAATGGATTGATTCAGGGAGCTCTGGTGGTCTAGTGGCAAGAAGCTGCACTGCAATCGCAGAGATATGCGGTTCAAATCCACCAGATGCTCTGCTGGAGAAGGAGGGGCAATCTCCTCCTGTACCAGTCAGATCTGATTTCACGGTTCACACACACAAAATAATAAAATTTAAAAAAGAAAGAAATGGATTGATACAGTGATTAGGGTAATGAAGGGGTGTGTGTCAGAGATGATAAAATCAGTACAGTTTAGAGCAGTTGTACATAGGGTCGCTATGAGTCACAAGTAACTCGACAGCATATAACAACTACATTTTAACTTTTGGAAACATTACTATTTTCAGAGCTTGGCTTATTGCTCAGTGTAACTGTTAAATGCGGGGTTGTTGAGGCCTGTCTGTACCCCTTGCCCCACTGAGGTCTCTCTCTTTCTGCCTCCTGATGCAGGTTGTGGGTTGGCTATCAGTATGTCATCACGAGCCAGAACTACAATCACTCCTTGGAGGGCCGCTGGGAGGTAGCATTCAAAGGTAAGCCTTCCGGTACACAGAAGTATTGACTTAAAATAGGGAGAGTTGTGTTAAAAATTGGCAAGCTTGTGCTGTTGGGGGTCTTCCATCCTTTATCCCACCATACTGATGCTTTCGGCCCTGTGGTTGGTGCAGGACCATAGAGAACAGTGGACTGGAGGTCCTTGAAGGCCTGCCTGTATAGTAGAGACTCTCGTGTAGGGTTGAACTCTGGTGAAAGGAGAGGTGCGTGAGCTCACGACTCAGGCCTGCTGACAGGAGGTATATGGGGATGGTTGGAGGCCTGCATTATTGAAGATCCAAATCTGGTAACAGGAGGTGCATGGGGACGAGTGCAGGACAGGATATGGCTAGAAGCCTGCATTATTCAGGCCTGATGATAGGAGGAGTGCATGAGGACGGGGTGCAACTGGAGACTCCCATTACTAGATAACCTGGGCATGGTGACAGGAGGTGTGTAGGAACTCAGGCCTGGTGACAGAGGAGGTTACAGAGTGTAGCTGGAGGTCTAAATTACTAAAAATCTGGGCCTGGTAACAGGAAGGGTGCATGGGAATGGGGTTTGTCTGGCAGAGGTCCTCTTCCAGGTCCCACCCACGGTGAGGCCATTTCTAGGTCTATATTGCTTCTCAAATGGATCAGATTTCTAGCCTGTGCCTCCTGCTTTTGTTAAAAAGACTCTGATGGAGGAGGGGGCTAAGTGTGGACCTGCAAAGTTCTACTGACACAGATGAAAGAGGGAAGAGCAAGTTTTCTGAGACCAAAGTTTGGAATTATAAATGTGAAGGAAGCCATCAGGTGGAGA